ATATTTTGTCTATTGTTAACGCATAAATGCATACATATTAAGACCATTTTTAAGTGCATATTTTCCAAGCCCTAGTGATAATCCTCATGTTATAAAAGAAACTAAACATCAGGAAAGATTTAGCATCAATGTATGGATAGGTGTCCTTACTGAAAATCTGCTTGAACCTGTAGAATTGCCCAATAGTTTAAATGGCTTTAAACGACTTTTTACAAAATACTTTACCAGCTTTATTGGATGACATTAATTTAAATATTCGACAGAACTTGTGGTATTTACATGATGGTTGTCCAGTTCCCTTTAGGAGGAATGTTCGTGAGGTTTTAGAAAATAATTACCGAGACCAATGGATAGGAAGAGGCGGTCCCGTTGGTTGGCCAGCAAGGTCTCCGGATTTAAATTCATGCGATTTTTGTGTATGGAGATATCACAAATCAGTAGTTTATTCGCAAACAATTGAATCACGGAATTTCCTTTGGAGACGAATTCAGAATGCTTGCAACGAATTTAGAAATAATATGGGAATTTTTGCAAGAATCCGGCGATCTTTACGGAAAAGAATAAATTTGTGCATAGAAACGGATGGCCGTTATGTGGAATATCTGCTTTACATTTAATTTTTTGTTTAATTCTTTCAGTTATCATTTCGTTATTATTTTTCTTAAACAAATTGTATCAACAGAAACTATTTTTACATGAATTTTATTTTATTACTTCAGAAAAGCAGTCATTAATTGAAAACATTTTTTTGAGTACCTACCTAAAGTTTGGGTAAAAACAGTTAAATATGTATTTATACAATTCTTAGGTATTTTGTTTATTTTGCATGGCCACCTTATCATAATTTTGAAATTTATTTGTTAATCAATGAAAACGTATGTAAAGACATGAAAAGTTTAAGTCGATTTTTCTAGAAAACGGTTGGTCATGGAGACTTCAGATAAGAGCACCATATTGGGGTAGAATTTACAAAAATTTTTAAATTTCATTTCAAAATGGCGACTTTGAAAGACAAAAAAAAATTGAATAAAAATATCCAATACTCCACCCAAACGAGCCGCTTATGACTATATTAAAAAAATATTATTTACGAAATTTGATTGGTTAGATTCAAATAAATGTACAGAATAATATAATTTAATAAAAATCCGTATTAAAAGTATTTCAATTAAACCGATTTTAGAACGCTATCTTCAAAGAGCTCTAGCTTTTTTGGATTGAGGTAATTTAGGAAATCGTCATAAAATCAGCTCTAGATTTCGTGGTTTCATTCTTTGAAAAAAGATTAGGCAGTTTTGTCTAAAGTAGATTCAGATAAAGTACTTTGATCTTCATTTACTCACTTTTAATAAATTGTTGGTTAGGCAACTCTGGTACTGAACCACTCAAATATAAAAAATGATTATAATTTGTATTTAAATAAATAATAAATGTATAATATACTGAATTTAAAAATTGGATATATCTTCTTATATATTTCAATGCGTGGCAACCCTGCACAAATACGTCAAATTATTTGTAAAAATGGCCAATTTTTGATATTTTAACATCAAATTTCTCAATTAAACGCGGATAATCCGCAAATATGTTTTTTTCATTTTCTTAATATGTAAATTCTCTACTTTCTAATAGTACCTACTAAAAATATACCCATACCAATGCTCTTTTCGAACTTAGAAATGTCTATAAATAACATTTTCTTTACTGGGTATCTATTTTATTTTGAATGATGGTTCTAGTGATATTGAGAACATACGTTCTTGGTTTATAATTACAGTCTAGCTAACTACTTACTATCCAGAAAGTTTTTATCGAAAAATAGAGGTTACGTATAGGTATTTTGGATGAAATCAAAAAGTAAATAGACTTCTATCAACTAAGAAATAGACAGGAATTCAAGAAATATATAACAGACTTACATAAAGAGTTCAATTTTCTTTTGCAAATAGTGGAATATCACGTTCACGTTTCGTTCAACTTATACCATTCAAAAAGTTTCAGGATCACTACGCCACTACAATTCGACTTGTTTGTTTTAAAGTTTTTTATAATCAAACTCAAATACAAATATTATTCGATTGTCTAACACGCTAACTCAGTAACTAAACTGTAATTACTTTTAATAAGTAACGTCCTTTAATATTGACTTTTAAAAATCACTTTTTAATTCAAATTCACGAAATTGTTTTCAAGCAAGAACACTTATTCGAAATTCATTGTCTTTCATATTCGGCTATCTTCGGACGTTGTGTTTATCGTGGCTGCCGCTAGGGCCAACGTTGCCAGTTTTCGTGATAATAAATTTAAAATAAAAATAGCAAAAATTAATTATTTTCAAATTAGAAACAATTTTTTTATATACCTAAACTGAACATACAGGGTGTGTCATTTTTGTTCAACTAAATGCACTCAGGGCCCTAAGATAAAGTATACATTTACTGTGAGTAGCATTTTGGTTTTTTTTTTTTTTTAATTTTTTATTAGTTTCGGATTCAAAACTGTATTGTACTTTTAGAAAAACAAATTTGTTGTTGAATGGGCGACCGAATCAAGAAAAAACGAAACCGTAACGAAAAAAACCTAACACCCCCCACTCCGACCGGCACAGCGGTGCGGCGTTAAACAATATTTTTATTCAATAAAAGAAAATCAAAAAATCGAAAAATCAAAAAATCAAAAAATCAAAAAATCGAAAAATTGAAAAATCGAAAAATCGAAAAATCGAAAAATCGAAAAATCGAAAAATCGAAAAATCGAAAAATCGAAAAATCGAAAAATCGAAAAATCGAAAAATCGAAAAATCGAAAAATCGAAAAATGGAAAAATCGAAAAATCGAAGTTAAAACTAGTTAAAGCCATTATGGGTAATTATTTTAACTTAATATCAGTTGTATACAGTCATTTAATTGAAACATTTTCAAATACGTTAAATTGGTAAACAAAAAGGAAATGGAAACTAAAATAGGTAACTGGTTGTGAAGGGCTTTGGAAAGAAATAGACGCAATAAATCAGAACGTAATAATTAACATTTTTAATTTTTGTGTCAAAAAAATTTTTTTTAAATAAATTTATTAAAAAAAGAAATAGATTTGATTATCCTACTAAAAAAAACATTTAGGTCATTTCTGGAACGTTCCAGCAATAGTATAAAAAACTTACCTAAGACGTTTGAGCAACATCGCAGGATGTTCTACTAACGTCTTTGTGAATCGTCTCTAATACGTTACAAATGATGACATGGTCATTGCCAGAAACATCCCTGGTACGTTTGAGGGAGGATAAGAAACATGACAGAGACGTTTCTAATGTCCCAAGTGCATGTTTCTGAAACGTTCGTGTAACAATACTGTGCTATTAGGGATATTGGTTACAAAAAAAGGTCCTAAAGCAAAATTAGATCTTTTCGTAGTAAAATGTAAAAAAAAGTCCTTAAACCAGGTTGTCCTTTTTGTGGCGAACATCTTAAAAAATAAAGCTGGCCGGGTCCACCTTGTGCCCCGGTCCCCGAGAATGTGTCCCCCCTCCCCCTCTAGTCGAGCCGGCAACCTTATATTACACCTTTAGTATTATTTTTATTATGACTATTATTTTCGCGGAGCCCCCACAGAGGCTTTGCGGAGCCCTAGGGCTCCGCGGAGCACAGTTTGAGAACTGCTGCTGTAGGGTATCTCTTAAGTACATATCGCACCACTAGATGAAAACCCCACTAAATCAAAATTATTAATTTTGAGTTAGTAGCGTTTTCGAATTCCTTACTCAAATACCTACATGGAAATATGACTCATGTAACTATACCTTTAACCGTTGCCGAAAGATGTCGCGAAACATGGGTTTACTTACGCCGGAAGATGAGCGAATACAACTCAGCCATTTTTATTTGCCACCTGATGAACGTAGGTGAAGGACGTTTGCAAAGTGACAGATATTGAGTTGTGAGAGTTTATTTGAAATTGTTAGGTAAGTTTCAATTTTTATTTTGAGTTGATTGAGTTTTGCTGAAATTTCGTTGATGGCAATAATAGTTCATTTTGATTTGCGGGGGTTTTGATGATATTTCACTGCAATATTTTTCTTGATATTTCGAGTAACATGGCAGTAAACAGAAATTTCGACTTACTGGAATTTTGTTGAATGAAATTTTAACTTAAAATATTTTGGTTTGTTAAAAAAAATAGGTACTTTTTTTAAAGAAAATAGGTTGCTTATGACATTTTTAATCAGATTTATAATTCGTTATAATATTTTGAAAATCTGTATGTGATATTATTGAATTTTTTGAGTTGGTTGACTTTACTTGATTTGTTAATAAATTTCAACATTTTTATTTTAGGACAATGATGAGCCGATGAAAATTAATGTTGGATATGATCAACGCAGAAAAACTTAATCCTGGACAGTCTGCAATATTGGATGCTTCAATAACACTTAAATCCTTTAGTATCGAAATGCCCAATAGAGTAAAGGAGTCTGAGTTTCCAACTGAGAGAAGTTTAGTTGTGTCACCGAGTATTATTGAATTTTCAGTAAATCTTAATGAGCCTAAGTTGCCAGCTAAGAGATTATTTTCATCACCGAGCAATAATGAACCTTCCTTAAATCTTTATGAGCAGCCTACTACCGCTAACGGACTACGAAGAGTTCCTAAACGTCAATATGCTATATCAATTGTCAAAAATGAAACGGTCTCGATCTCTTTCGTCTTCGTCTAACAGTCCAGTTCATCAAGCAGCAGCTCCAGCAGCAGCTCAAGCAGTAACATTATTAGTGAAGATAACACTACTATTAGTGATTTCCACGCTAAGGATGTGGACTGTTTTTTTTTTGGGATGAGACTGAAGGGAAGCGTGGTGCCGTAGAATTTGGAAGCTATGTTTTAGCTTTTATAGAAATGCATCTAAACAATCATCCCAGTGGAGACATAGATTTGATATTTTATTCAGACAACGGTTGCGGGCAGCAAAAAAACAAGTATTTATTGTCTGCTTATGCCTACGCTGTGTGCAATATGAGAGTGAAGTCTATCACCCATAAGAGGCCACTCGCAAAATGAAGGGGATAACGTGCATAGCGTTATAGAAAAGCAAATGAAAAGGCACATAAAATCACGCTCTATTTACACGCCATTGCAGTATATAACACTAATTCGGGCTGCCAAAAAATCTGGACCAGCATGAAATGACACATGATCGCTTTTATGACTTAAAAGCTTTACAAGAAGCTTGGGGTACGAATTTTAATATGGATGAAGACAAGAACCAAGCAAAGTGGCATGACATAAAAGTCCTCAAAGTTGAAAAGGAAAATCTTATGGTCTTTTTCTATAAAACATCTTTTGCAGAGGCCGAATTCAAAAAATGTTGGGTGAATAAGAGAAAGACTAGACGTACTGAAGTAGAACTTACATCTAGTATCACAATAAATCTGAGGAGAGCATACGCAGAAAAAATTACTTTGTCGGATGCAAAAGAAGACAATAAAGAACTTGTCGACAAAAATATGATTTCGAACCCGTACTGCGACAGTTTTTACAAAAATGTTTTGTAAAACACTGATCTAGATTAAGTAATACAATTTTTAGAGTAGGTACGAAGTCTAGTACAAGAAGTAAGTCCCATTATTGAATTTATTTTATTAGGAGACTACTTTTTTGTATTTGTAAATATTAATAAGGTTACTGAATAATATTAGAATTCTAATAATTGAACTGTGATTTGCAACTTGGGACTGTTACTGCTAATAGTAAGTGATAATAGCACAAAAACGAAAATATAGACTGCTAGAATTTATAATTTTTAATATCTTGTATTGAATATTACCAAAGATAGGTCAGAGGCTGTAATTATGTTAAGTTTAAAGAGGAGAGAATGCTCAAATTTTTATACTAATTTTGTATGTAACTATAATTTCATAAATTGATGTTTAATTTTCCTTTGTTTTTTATTTCAGTAAATAAATTATAAGTTTCTATATGAATAAATTAATTGTTTTATTTTAACCATTTTAATTTTAGTATACCTACATAGATCTAAAATCTATCCTAAACTTATCAAGCAAGACGTTGTACATCATCCGTAACTCAAAATACCCAAAAAATGTTATCTTGTTTTTGCAGTGAAAAGTAATGTAACTCGTTTATATTTCAGATAAAGTAAAGTAACTCTAGTTAGTACAAAAAAATATTACTTACTGCCGGTGCAAAACTAGAGTAACTAAAAATTTTTGATTTTCTTCAGATTTTAAAGGAACGATTTAAAAACAAGGTAACTTACTAAACTTTAGAAGTAATTACCTTTATAATATGTTTTTAGTTTTTTGATATATTTTCTAAATATTTCCAAAACAATTTTTCGTCGTTTCTGAAAAATAAGGTTTTTCGATTTAGTTGGGTTTTCATCTAGGGGTGCGATATGTGTCACACTCTCTGTTCAGTGTCTTGATTTTCCTGAGGACCATTTCCACCGCTAGTCGTTATAATAAATAAGCCAAGTTTAAAATGACACTTTAATGAAAAAATGTCATTTTAAACCTGGTTTATTTCTTAACTACTACCAGTGGAACTAAGTCTGAACCATTTCCCACTTTACTATGGACATTTCCATATATAAAGATGAAAATAGCAAAATCGGGGACATTATTTTGGGAACACAACCTGCTACACAGGTCCCACGCACCCAAACTTAGAAAAATAGCTTGCTAGGTTACTTTTTGTAATCAGGGTAAACTACCCTCCTATTTCAGTGTTTTACGAAAATCATATTATCCTAGTAAATGTAATTAAAAACCGTAAGTCAACCTAAATATTATAGTAAAAAACAAAAACTAAACTGTCCATTTTGAGGTAATTCCTTCGGCAGTGCTCTTTGCAATATCAAGGAATGGTTCTAATTCTAAAGGTTCCTCTTTTAAAGAAGAAATATACTAATAGCACATTTTTATACTTTAGTTTAAAGTGTTTATACCGTACATTTTTACTGTGCCATTTCTCACTTCTTTTAAAACATTAGAATTTTTAAGGTTGGTGTAAAAAAAATTTCTTTGGTTTAATATAGATCATAATCTCTAAATATTACAAAAATTCAATACCGACCTCCTAAAAAATGGTAAAATTAACATTATTAAATTGTCAATTTGGATTAGCTTAAAAAACACTTAATTTTTAAATTACGATTTAACTTTAAGTATATAACATTGTACTTAATGCTTTGTTTTACGAATGAAAAATCAGCTGTTTAACTTATTAATTTTTTCCAATTCACAAATTATGAATCAAAGTTGTTATTAAAAATAACTGATAAGACGAGTTTTATCGTCAATATGTAACATTGTAAATGAGGAAATAAACGTTACATAAAATAAGTCGTTTTTCTCTTGAGGACATAGTTTGACGAGTCAAGTCCGACACGCCTTTTAAAATACACTGTTATAGATATGTCTGTTATACCTATGTCTATATACGTAATACGTGTGTGTATTTTCTGAAACGCAAAACGATATACTTTCTCTAAAATTTATTAATGTATAGCATCGGAAGTAAAATTATTTTTTAACCATATACTTGCATATTGCATGGTAATTTTACGTCACAAGTTGTCCCTGAAGACTTGTAATATTGATAGGTATGCATTTTATTATACAAAACAAGACTCGTGCTAACACAGATTGCGATTATCTCGCCTCAATATTTTATTCAAATTATTTGTATGTAACGTAATATTACTTACAAATACTTTACAGTTTAATAGAAACAATAAAAATAGATGCTACCAAACATTTTGGGGTTTTCGAAAACAATGGCACAATAACTTTTTTTTAGTTTAATATTGACTTTTTCATAATTTATTACATTTTTCTAGGACATTTTATTTTCCTTATTCCCTGCTATAGGATGTATCCTCCTTTTCAGGGTGGTCCCCTAATAACACCGATCTGCCAGAAACATCCCATTTAGGTTCCATGTATGTTTGTATGTTTCTGACATAAATGGTACGTCCCTACGATGTTTCTAAAGGAACGTTTCTGGAATGATTTCTCAAGAACGTTTTAGAAACATCGTATTTATGTATAGGTATTTTATTTTCGTTTTAAATATTATTTTGAAATTATAAAATTACTGCAATCGTCAGAAATCTACAATAATATTAAATTTGAACATTTTGAACAATATTTTTTATTTCACAAGACAACTGCTATAGGTCAAATTTATCTTATTTCCTTTAAAAAAGAGTGCAAAGCAAATACGATCTTATTCAGCAGAAGAGTTCGGTTAATCCTCGGCGAGCTAAAAAAATGCACTATTGACAGAAGCCCTCGTGATGGAATCTATTTCTTTGCATTGAAAGTGTAGCACTGAGCTACAGTACTTATGAAAATGTCGTTTCATTTATACAAATTGTATGGATGAAACGATATTTTAGATGAAAAGGAATAGACCTCATATTTGATTTGCTCGCGGAGTAATAACGGAACACGCCTACCGTATAATAGATCCAATGACAATTGACATATGACATTTCATTAATGTTGACAGTTGAAAATAAAATTAGGCATTCCAAACAAATGAATTACCAGTGGGCAGGTTTGTTATATCTAAGGGTGGCGACATATGGTGTATTCTATCTACTTTACGTAAAATCATGAATAATGGATTACATTTAAATATTTTATGTCAAACACAATAAAAATAATATTTAAAAAACCCACCTATACATTTTTTCATAAATTGGCAGGCTTGGCGAGTACTACTTCGAATAAAAATAGTGTCCAAGTTGCAAGACTATGTCGCTACCCCCTTAAATATACAAGAATTTCCCACTGGCACCTATTGTTTGACAGGTCGTTGGAATGCCTAATAGTGTTTAGCCTCGCTTGTAATAAAGTTTGGATGAGTTTAAAAATAATAAACAACTTCTTTATAAACTTTTAACTAAACTAAAAATGATAATAGGAGGCCGGATTGAAGGGTATATTTGGTGACTTTCTGAGGGCTATGGTAAAGCTGCATGAAAAATCACTTCCAATTCGAAGTTTGACCAGGCTTGGCAAATTAGAAACAATCGTTTTATGTGAAAGCTATTCAAGCCAAAATGAAGAAGGTAACTTAATTTCCTTTAACAAAATGTGGCTTTTATACATTCTACTCATTATTTCTTTATTTGTTAACTTTAAAAATAACTATTTTAGGTATTGTATTTTAAAATCCAAGGTAACAATAATGTATGTGAATTTATCAGAAGATGCATAGCTCCCCTCATGGTACGAGTTGTGTAAGTTGTTTTTATGCACTAGAAAAAAGGAAGTCGCCAAGTTAAAAATAGTTAAAGCCATTATGGGTAATTATTTTAACTTAATATCAATTATTTATATTGTCATTTAATTAAACATTTTCAGATTCGGTAAATTGGCAAACAAAAAAGAAATAGAAATTAAAATAGATGCCCGGTTGAAGAGGGCTCTGGAAAGAAATAGACGAAATGAATCAAAGCGTAATAAATAATAATTTTTATTTTTTTGTCAATTTTTTTTTTTTTTTAAATAAATTTATGAAAAAAAATAATAGATTTTATTATCCTACTAAAAAAACGTGTAGGTCATTTCTGGAACGTTCCAGCAATGGTATAAAAACTTGCCTAAGACGTTTGAGAAACATCGCAGGATGTTCCACAAACGTCTCTGTGAAACGTCTCTAATACGTTACAAATGATGACATGGTCATTGCCAGAAACATCCCAGGTACGTTTGAGAGAAAATAAGAAACATGACAGAGACATTTCTAATGTCCCAAGTGCATGTTTCTGGAACGTTCGTGAAACAATACTGTGCTATTAGGGTCAACTTTTACCTAAAAAGGGCCAGCATATATAACTCACTACGGCTGACTGTCGGGCCACAATCATTTTGCCATCAATAACAGTTACAAGACTTTTAACATACCAGAGTCATTTTGAATTTATACAGTTAAAGGGCCTTTAGCATTCTTTTTTATTTTAACTGTTCTATCTATCTATCTATCTATCTATCTTTTTTTTTTTCGGGTGAGGAACATTTTATATGCCGGCCCCTGCGCTTGGGATCTGATCTTAAATCTATCGCGACAGGGAGTGTGGGACTCCAGGGCTCTCTGGGTGCAAGTCCCTGTTTACCCACTAAACCTCACCTCATATCTCTACCTTTCTTTTCTGGAACCGCTTTCGCATTACTTCGGAAAAGAAGGTTGTATATCTAGTTTTCTCAGTGTCTACTGTCTTCTTCTTTTGTCTCGAGAATCGATCGGACTGTACTGTAGACTGCTTTCCATCCTACTTCAGAATTCAGTAGGCTGGCTGTCAAATTTTCTGGGTTAAAAATATACCCCATTGCATCTTCGCATAGTCTTCGTTGATGTTCCCACTTAGAGCATATAAATAGGGTGTGTTCCGCATCATCTATTTCTTGACAGTACCTACAACTGTCGGTTACTGCTCGGTTCCGTTCGAAAAGGTATTTGTTAAAACCTCCATGGCCTGTGAGGCCCTGGGTCAGCCAGTAGTCCACCTCGCCATATGCTCTATTCATCCAGTTTTCAATGCTGGGAATAAGCCTCCAAGTCCACCTCCCTTTACTGCTCCGGTTCCACGAATCCTGCCACTGCTCCATCAGGTTTTATTTGGCAACTTTTTTTGAGACACCTTGATATGTTTTTGTCCTTTCTTCGATCAAAGATTTGATTGGCGTGACTCCTGCTAATACACATGCTGCCTCAGACGACACTGTTCTATATGCGCTGCAGATCCTTAAGCTTACGTTTCTTTGTACTCTCGTTAGTTTTAATAGGAGATTTTTGTTGTTGGTTACTCTATTCCATATCGGTGCTCCATACAGTAGCTGAGAATGAATAACACTACTGAGTGTACGTCTTTTAGATTCACGCGGGCCTCCGATATTAGGCATGAGGCTGACGAGTGCAGTAGTTGTTTTACCTGCCTTCTCTATTGTGCGTGCTACATGTTCTGAGAAGCTTAATTTTGTATCTAACCACACACCCAGGTATTTAATGGCTTTGCTGGGAGTTACTATTGTACCCCGTAGGGTAAATTCTATTTGTCTAATTTTCCTCTTTTTGGTTAGCAATACACATTGTCTTCTCTGGTGCAAACGTTAGGCTGTTATTGTCCATCCAGCGTGCCACTCTTTCCAATGTGGCATTTACTACATTCATGAGTTCTTCTTCATGGCTGCTACCACCACTGCAACATCATCTGCAAACCCAACTAGTTCTGCCTCCCCCGGCATCTTTAATTGCAGTAGCGGGTCGTATAGGACGTTCCAGAGTGTGGGTCCTAAGACTAATCCCTGTGGAACTCCACTGTTGACATCTGCGTGGACATCTATCTATCTATCTATTTTTTACAAGATGCGCTATGCAAGATCCTCCCTTAAAAAAAAAAAATTTTGAGCGCAGCGCCATCTACATATTGACTTATTTAAAATTAATATATATCTAAAACTGAAGCTCTCTTAGCGCTCTATAAACTGGCTCTTACAAAATTAAAACATCTCTATTACTTACCTAAATATCCGGCCTGGGAGTTTTTATTGGTACACCCTGTATATAAGTATGCGACAGTCGTCCTACTATTTTGCTTTTGTCACATATAAGAAACAACCGTCCTGAAAGAAATAAATATTAAATCAGTACCTACCTCCTGATGTCTTTAACCCGGCGTTTGACACGTGGGGTGTAATAAATCCCAGCAACTGAAAACTCGTGCACAACTTCGTAACGGTTTCATCTTCACGCTTGCGCGACCTAGTAGCTTTCAATCACCTGTTGCACCAGAAGAAGAGTGTGTCGCTTCAAAGTAGACTGGGGTGTATCACACCCCACGTGTCAGTTTTTGACTTTTTTTCGTGATTTCCTTGGCTGGCTTTGTAGGGTGTAATTTTTCCAAGTTGTTTTTTTGGAAATTTAGTGTTTATTTCTTTTTTAGCAAGATGTGTGAATGGCAAAGGAACAGAAGCGTCTCTTGAGACTTTGGCAGGAATCTGAAGCTGAAAAACCTTATTCAGATGAAGAATATTCGGAGAAGAGGAGGATATTGATCATCTGAGCATAACTAGCAACTATCCTGATCAAGAGCAAGATGCGGGGAATGAAAATGAGTGAGTGAGTGAGTGTGGGCAAAACTGGCTCAAAGTGGTTTAAACAAGTACCAAATAAAAATGTGAGGACAAGAGCTGATATTATAATCCACTTAGCAGGTGTTAAGAATTATGGAAAGAATGCTAAAACACCAAGAGAATGCTTCGAGCTTTTTATAGATGAGGAAATGACGGCTGACATTGTTAGAGATACAAATATTAGAATTGCTGAAAAATCAGAAAAATTGAAAAATTTACCGCATTATGGGGAAACAACAATTGTAGAAATGAAAGCAGTTTTTGGTCTTCAAGAACAATCACAGAAATTTGCAAGAACTGTGGAATACGGACGCTACTGGGACGGATATATTTAGATGTACCATGAGCCAAAGATTTTAGTTTCTTGTTTGCGTTTTGATAATAAAGGCAACCGACAGGAAAGGCTAAAAATTGACAAACTGGCTCACATATGAGGTATTGACAAATTTACCGAAAATTGTAAGGCTGCTTATTCACCATACGAATACCTAACAATCGATGAGGAGTTGGAATCATTTCGTGGTCGTTGTTCTTTCAGGCAATACATACCGAACAAACCTGCTAAATACGGCTTAAAAATTCAAGCTTTAGTAGATGTTAGACATTGTTGACCGATTGGTAGCACCAGTGTCAGGAACAAAGCGAAATATTACCTGTGGCAACTGGTACACCAGTCTTAAACTTTTTGAAAAACTTTTAGAAAAGCATAAACTAACTGCAGTAGGAACTATCTGAAAAAACAATCCAAATATTCCTCCAGAATTTTTAATTACCCGCAGTAAAGAACTCTATTCAAGTCAGTTTATAAATTAATAAAATGTATTGACAGCTCTTTCCCACCAATTAAAAAGTTTATAACTCGTAAAACAATTCATGATCGTAACCTCCGCGACGTAACAACTTACACAATACCCCGTCATCGAACAGCCCTATTTAAAACAAGTTTTGTATATAATTCTATTAAATTGTACAACTCTCTTCCTTTACAATTAAAAAATGTAAACTTAAATTTATTCAAAAAATAAAAAATATTACGTTCAAAATTTTGTTTGACCTTTTTAGTTTTTTACTTTTTATTTAATTTTTAATTACTATTTTTTTAGATTTATAAAGAGAAAAATTAAAAAAAAACTTAAAAATTAATTATTGGAATTTTTGTTCCATTGCAAATACATTTTTTGTTTTTATACATTGGTGTTTCAGTAGTTATAAGTAGGAGTAGCTATTACAGCTAGACTTCGCCACTGATTGCATCAGTATTCTTTTTTTATATTCCCATGTAACAAATTTTTTGTATACTTATATACATTCTTTTCCTCTAATAAAGACGATTTATTATTAATATATAATTTATTTTGTGGAATTTGTGATTATGTCTTGTCAAATTAAATGCCAACGACTATATAAATAGGATCCAGCAGGAACTCACCACTCGAACTGAGCTTAATCTGAACGAAGTTTATAAATCCAGCTCTAACACTTGATACTATTTTATTATGTTGAAAATACCTACCTATTTACGTAATTTTTTTAATTTATTTTTGATATTTTAATTAATCAAAATAACTGTTAAGAGCATTGTAAACTTGGCTACAGTGTTCAATCAATGTTTATGTTTCTGCCGAAGACGCTTAGTGTTGGCTTCAGAAATTTTGTAAATAATCCTCTCTCTTGGTTATATACCTTTGGTAGCAACTCTCAGGAAGCAGGAATGGATTAGGGTCGTTTCTCTCATAAAACAAAGCACCTCAAACTTCATATTTGAATTTGATATAGAAATAGAGATAATGGTGGTGGTGGTAAGGGGGCGTCCATTAATTACGTGAGGTATTTTTGAGGATTTTTTGACTCCCCCTCCCCCCCTGGCGAGATTTGGTAAGATTTTCCTTAACTCCCTCCCCCCCTTCCCTAATCTCACGTGAGATTTTTCAAAATTCGTGTTTTGGGTGTAAATGTGTTGGATTATTAAAAAAAAAACAAGACTAGCAAAGCCTAGTGTTTGAGAGTGTTCCAATTATTTAAAATCACACTTCCCAACCTTCAATGACGTTAGTAATGACAACATTACATATATGGTTGTAAATAAACATAATTATAAGATTTTTCCATATTTTATTCTAGAAATACTTTTACTATAATTTAACTTTACTTCACGCAATTTTACACCGTTTTCTACTAGAAAAAAAATTACGTGAGATTTACGAAACCCCCCCTCCACCCCCCAAGTGAGATTTAGTTTTATCCCCTCCCCCCCTTGAACACCTCACGTAATTACTGCTGATGAAATCTTGAAGAAATAACTAGAATTACCAAAACTAGACTTAAATGAAAAAGTAAAAACTTAAAGCACTATATGGGCTTAAACAATATGGCAGAACATGGAAAGAACAGGTACACATGAAAATCTTTAGTAGGCTCATAAAATATTGTGATCATAAAGGTGCCCTAGAATTACCAAAAAAAAGTTGTAAAAATTAGAATTCATCAAGTGAAGACCTAGCAGATGGTTGTCTTAAAAAACCATTACCCATCAAAAAATTTAGAAAATGTAATGAATATTTTGGATCGTCAATCAATTTGTAAGGTTGCAAAGTAGGAGGGATGTTGAAAATTCACTCTGTACAATTTTTCAAAGGAGACTTCACATTACACTTTTTTAAGAATTGTAAGTCTTGCTTAATATACTATGTAGACCTATAACTATTTAAAATAAAATATCGATATTTTTTCCTCTATAAAAAAAAAACTAATTTTTGTTTTATTTCTGGTGATAAAAGTTTGGTAAAAAATTGGTTTGTTTTCTGTGGTGTTCTTTTTATCCTTTCACCACAGCTTCATTACACAACTATCCACTCCTTCGACTTATTTTCCCATAGTACTTAGTTGAATGAAATGAAATATATACAATTATAAAATTTTTATTAAATCTATTTTATAACAAATCATCGGTTGTATAAATATAACCACATCGAATTTTAAAAGTTTTTATTTTAATTTCTTTAGTATTTAAAATCAAAAAAATAAGGAATAACAGTAGAAAAACATGTTGATTTAAAATTTTGAAAATAAAAACATGTAATATATTTTTCAGTCTTAATTTTATCAGTAGATAATTAACAGATATTTTATAAAGACTTAAAACTAATATTGCATTACCTCTTTTTATTATTTATTTTTGCATAGTGTAGTTTGTTCTGTACACAAGCTTATTTTAAATTTTGACTAATACATTTTCTCTGAAATATATGTCTATAAAATATAAGACGACAGCCTTTTTATCTTAGTCTCCTAAATTTGAGTACTCCCTTTTGATTTTGGGAGTTTATTGCTTGTTCCCATATCCCCACTGCTCTTTATTATTGTCGAGTTTACAAAAATGCTTTAACTTCATCATAGAAGACAAGTACAAGAGCTGCACCTGTACCACGCAGGACATTGGATAAAGCGCCTTTAAAGAAAGCACTGGGCCCTTCATTTTTAAAAATTTTGTACCAGCAATCGAAGGTGTTTTTGTACATAATGTCACCCTTGGCACGTCCTGATTGCATCATCATTCGTCTTCTTACAGTGTCCAATGGATAGGACAGGATTCCAGAAATTGAGGTTACAGTCTTGAAAGAAAATATTCTGAATTAATTATACTGACATTATGATTTTTCAATTTTAAAAATTAATTAAACTTAATCAGTAAATGGGTAGTGGTAAAATAGAGTCATCAATATAGGCTCAGTTTCATGAAAGCATCATGTTAAAACATTTGTATAATTGTATATAAGTTATAATTATAAAAATATGGCAATTATTGTATCTGAAATTTGAATATTTATATTAAATACCTAGTATATTTATTTCAATTTGATGTTTCAAAATATGTATTAAGAAATTTGTAATAGGTTCTCTCACATTTGAACTTTTTTAGGAAAGTACAATGGCTTCAAACAGTTGGTAAATTTTAATTTGAAATACTAAAAATATCTTGAATGATATTTCAAAACTTACCTGAGCAATAATAAATGAAACAATGAACGGAGTAGTTTTGGGATCAGCAATCAAACCCCTGATAGTGTCAAACATACCAAAATAGGCAGCACGATAAATAATTATGCCTTGCACAGAAACCAAGAATCCTCTGTACCAACCAATTAGCCCATCAGTTTTGAAAGTTTTGGCAAGGCAATCAATTAAGCCATGGTATTGTCTTGTTTTGGTACTCTGTCCTACGTCAACTCCCAATCTGTGAAAAAATAAAATGTTATTTCATCTAGTAGAAAGCAAAACCAGCAAAAATGTTTTGTATTGAATAAGGTCAGTAAATGGGTAGTGGTAAAGATAGAGTCATCATTTAATGGCTCAGTTAAAAAGAACATCATTCCAAAAAAAATATTTGAAGAGAAATTATTACACTACTTTGGTTAAAATTATGTTATCTTGTAGTCCAGTGTCCTACTAATGCGCATGTCCGCACATTTGCTGCTCAAATTCATTCTGACAATCAGAATAGTTACATAGTTGCCAGGGTTATACTTGTATACTGATATTAAATCTAAGAAAAAGAAAATGCAAGTCATCGCAGATGCAGTCAAACATTTGGAGGGCAAGGATTTTTAATAATAAATAAAAATATCCTTTTATTTTGGATTATTTTGACTTTTTTTTTGTTAAATAAATATTTTCCTTGCCCTCGAACATAAAAGATAACACATAATTTGAGATGAACATAAAACAAACTGAGATAAAATGAGGTCTAGCAAATTTTTACTAGATTATTTAAGAAATTATATAATCTGTATGTTGATCTTTTAAAACTATAAAAATTACATTTGGTGATAAGGATAACATGTTCTGAATCTGAAGAAATTTTTCCAGTTCCAAATTTTATTAGGACTGACAGGTTTAAGTTGAATACTTGAATAAAGTGTGGATGTGGACATTAACAAAGACAGATTTAGAAACTGAAAGATATAAATATTTTAGAAAGAAAACAGAATTTAAAGGGACATTGAAGTCTTACCGAGTTCTTGCATAATCAAGGGGATATACAAAACATAAAGAAGTGGCTCCGGCAGCCCCTCCTGAAGCTAAATTACCGCCAAAATATTTCCAAAATTGGGTCCTTTTATCGATTCCGCCCATAAAGAATTGTTTATAAACATCCTTAAAGGCAAAATTTAAAGCTTGAGTGGGGAAGTATCGTATTACATTGGCCAAATTTCCTCGCCAATAACTTAAAATTCCTTGTTCTTTTGGGATACGTACAAGACAATTGATTATTCCTAGAAGTTGGGAAATATGATTGACTGTGGGGTATTTATGATTTTCAGAAATCTGGAAATTGTTTTGGTTTTATTGAAAAGTTAAAGCAGGCTATAAATAAATGTCTAACCTATAAATTTAATGACCATGTGTAGCCACGTGGTCGAATTTTAAAAATAAAATATCTGGATTTTGAAGACAATCAATGGACTTTCTACAATTCGTTAGTTATTTTCATAACCATTTTAATATAAAGAACACTGGTATGTGGTACAAAAAGGTTAACATACCTGTGTAAGCAGTTTCCGCTGATATTTGTTTGCTGGCTGCCTGCACCTGTAAAATTAACTTTACTCGTTCAATGGGAGCCACAGAAGTTTTAGCTATGGCAGCAGCTATTCCTCCAGCAAAGAAATCCCTTAAAAAGGAACTTTCTCTAGTTTCCCTCACCTGGGTTGGTGGCATTTTAGACATTTTACTTCCTTAATAAACTCGCTCTGATAAACGATGCAATGAAAAAGAATTATTTTTTGTGGAAAGTTGACTTTTATACTGACAGTATGACGTACGACACTTATGACAGATGGAATATATAAAAATACCCATGGTTGCCAAACCAACCACATTATCCCTGAGTTCCAGTAGAAGTTTTTTTTTTAACCGACTTCAAAAAAGGAGGAAAGTTCTCAATTCGTCGTAATATTTTTATTTTATGTATGTTCAGCGATAATTCGATGTCTGATTGTAATGATTCTTTTTTGGTAGAAAGGGGATACTTCGGTCCCATATTAATTTGGTAAAAATCTAATAATTGGGTCCATGAGAAAATTCTCAAACTCTTATTTTTTTATGTATGTTTAGCGATAATGCTTTACCATCTTGTCCGATTTATATGATTATTTTTTTTTGTTAGAAAGGGGCTACCTCAGGGGTGGTCCCATATAAATTTGGTCAAAATCTAATAATTGGATTCATCAGAAAATCCTCACTCTTCATTTTTTATGTATGTTTAGCGATAACTCTTTACCACCTTGTCCGATTCTTTTTTTGTTAGTAAGGGGTTACCTCAGAGGTGGTCGCATATAAATCTGGTCAATTTACAAACAGATATTGTAGAATCCGAGATAGAATAAACTCATCATATAGGTTTACTCATAAAAGACCATAATGAAAAAATGCAAATGATTTGTGCTCAAAAAGTTATTGTTCAATTTTTGGGTAATATTCATTATTATAATTATCAAATAATACCCAAATATGTTCAAAAACTAATGTGGTATTTATGTCAACTTGTTAATTTTTGCAGATCATAAATCAGATGTTTTCTCTTTTATTTATTGAAATTTTTATACCTTTTATTACAAGAAAATATGTAAGAATTTAAAAAGTTATCTCTGTTAATTTGTTTTGTTTTAGATATTTCTGGACATGGAGATCTGAATTAGGGTGTGTTTCAAAGCTCACCTGTACTGAAGCTGGAGGTTTATTGTACCCGAAATAGGCATTACAACTACTCTAGATTGAAATAGATTGGTAAAGCCGGTAAAGGGATAATAAGTATAAGAATATTAGAATTAGAATGATTTGTCCTTGGATTAATAAGTTAGTATTAGGGACATTCAAAACAATTGTGTCTATAAATTAATTTCTTTGATTTTTTATAAAAACTATATCCGGTTTTTTTAATAACAAAATCATTGTCATGTGCTATGCTGGTTATCATATTATATTTTTATTTTTCAGTAATTTAGTGTGTGATATAGTGCTTATGTTCGGCGAGTATCGACTAACACCCGACGATATAAGAGAAGCACCTCTTGGCAACGTTGTCAACTACATTAAGGGCCCTATTCAGTAATTTATCGTTTATGGACGACATCGTTAAGCTAACGACAGTTCAACCAACGACTTTTATAACGATAATTTTTGAAACTCTATTCAATAACAAAGTCGTTACGTTGTTTCTAGTTACCAAATCTGAACGATGATTTCTAGTAAGTTGGTATTATAATTTAGTGTTTTGTGATAAAAGAACGTATGTTGATGATTATAGCGGGCGTTTAAATTAAAGACTGTATATCGCCAAAAATATGCATTTTATAAAAAAAAAGCATCAGACAAAAGTTTTATAGTTTTTTAGGGGAAACATTTTGGCTAAATTATTTTTTTTATAGCTGACCATAATATGGCCATATCGAGGTGGATTTTTTTTCAAATTGGAACCCTATTTTTTACATAGGTATTCTTTAGAGTTCATGAAAAAAACAAGAAACTTCTAAAGGAAACATTTTTTTATTGGATTTCTACTTATTGAGTAACATCTACTTGAAAATTTTGCTGCGCGAAAAAAAGTTGGCCACATATTATGGTTTGCTATAAAAAAACAATTTTAGCTAAAATGTTTTACCCAAAAAATTATTAAACTTTGATTTTTTTATAAAAGGCGGTATTTAACTGTAACCCTTTAATTTGAACACCCGGTATATTTGACATTTTTTTTGAACGTAAAATAAAAATTCTACCACACGATCAGGGGGTCGATTCTCGATTCGTAGGAATTCTGTTTCTCGCGGGCCATTTTTGCTGGTCATATTGTATGTATAGGGTTTATTTAAATGAGTATGGATACATTAAAAAAAACAAAAAACAACTCGAGAACAGTACAAGTTGTATTTATTGGATTTGAAAAACAAACCAAATTTGTGTAGGTTACGGAGAAGTATAGGTACTTCCATAATATAGGTTTTGTTACAGTTTCGCAGTGCTACTTTAGGAACATCACTGTTAATAAGAATCCAATAGTAAATGATTGAATGGGCAATTCTAACTTTGAATCAGATTTATTTTTAAAATAATTAAATAAATTAGAAAAAAATTCCTTACAAATTTTACTTGCTGTATTAGGTATATGGCAATTTAGTTGTAAAATTTGTAAAAAAGTGTTTTTATTATTTAGAACATATCCTGATTCACAATAAAAAATGAGAGGGAATGCAAAAATCACTATAACGACACTTCATATTATTAACGACAGCTCTTTGGCTATCGTTGATGAACGACAATTTTACAACCATGTTTGTCTATTTTCAACGACAATCGTTGTCTACTGAATAAGAAAAGTCGTCTGTGAACGATTATCGTCTATTAACGACGTCGTTCAGAGTTACTGAATAGGCCCCTAAATCTGTAGACTGGCTCACGAGCTAGGAGGTGCCTATCATCTTAGGAGGATGCACAATGGGCCTAATGAGGCCTAAGTGCCGTAGGGGTAACCCACCCTCCACACGTTACAGATACAGAGATACAGTGCTTATGTTATGTTCAGAATATGCAGTTAGAACATACTGAGACACATGTAATTACATGGTAATTCTAAATAAATTAAACTTGTTAAAAATGTGTTTTTTTTTTCACCTTATTTTATTTTTCAGTTAAAACCAGTGACATTTATCTATCTACAAAAAAAATTCACTAAACTTATTGTTTGTTTAGTAGTTGTAAGTTAAAGTTGTCAAATAGGAAAACATTACTTCTGCTGCGTTTGAGAATCCACATCGGATGCATCTGAGATGTAAAAAATCTTTGATCACGTGATTCAGTATACGTAAATGTAATGGGACAGATGTGTCCGATGTGGATAAAAAAACGCTTGAGATGTAAAAAATGCATCCGATGTGGATTCTCAAACGCAGCATTCAAATTGCTTCAAATATCTAAATTATGAAGCCCGCCACTTTTTAAATAGCTTTACTCAGTAGTGTCCTACTTTATCGACTGAAACCGACAAGTGTAGTTCAACCGTAAGCGCTTAGCGCGCTACTGTCGAGGTCAAGCAAACTTGTTACCAACTATAGGGTCTATTCTGTAACAATTCCTTTATTTTAACGGCCGTTAAAATATTGGCGGCCTTTTTTTTTCTTTTTTGTGTGATAGGCATCAACTGCTATATGGTTATTAGCCTCGTGTTCTGTGTAGGCTTTGTTACTGTTTCCCAGCGCCACTTTAGGAACAGCACTGTTAATTAGTACCCAACAGTGAATGGTCGAGTAGGGAATCCTACCAAGGCATCAGAATTAATTTTAAATAATTAAATTAAATGAAAAAATCCCGGCCAACGGTGGTATTCGAACCTGGGACTCTTGGATCCGCAGGCTCCGCAGGCAGAGACTCTACCACTGAGCCACCCACCCCGTATTGGCGGCCTTTAAAAATATTTTCGTATTTACTAACATACCTTTGTAATTATTAAACGGATTCATTTCAACCAGTCCTCAAATAACAATCATTTTTAAAGGGATGTTAAAATTCACCTTTAATTTTTAACGGTTTTAAACTTAGATACTCTGAGGTTTTAAATTGAAAATTGAGGATTTGTATGGCTATGTTTTCAAACTAGTTCAAATAAATCTTAAATGCCATGCTGTCCTGCCATTTTTAAGGGAATCTGTTAAAATAAATAATTTTTAATAGGCCTCTAAAATTTGTGTATACAGAATACCATTTTTGGTTAAACAAATGAACGGGCCGCTAAAAGTTTAATTTTTAAAGGCCTCTAAATTTTAACGGATGTGTTACAGAATAGACCCCAATCCTCTGACCCGCTCCCCAGTGGAACAGTTAAGGACCGATTCCACCACAAAGCATGTATCTTCTAGAGACCCCACGCCAATGTTAAACTTTTAAACCAAATTAGCGCCACCTTGTGTTTGGAGCTGGAACTAAAATGACAATTGACAGATGGCGGTAAATTCAAATTGTAATTTTTAGGAGTAGGTAGTAGTTTTAAAGTAAATTTTAAATGATTTCCACATAAATTATTTTATAAAATAAAGTATGGAACTAGTAAGTTCGAAACTTTTATTTTACAAAATAATTTAGGTGGATTATACCAAATTTGAAGAATTAATTTGTTATAAGGGGTCTAATGTGGAGAGTTGGTTCTGTATATTTTTATTAAATAAATATAAGATATATCAATAAATAATAAAATAGAACATTCTTAAAATATGTTTATTAATAACTTAAATAAATATTATTAGATAAAAATAAATACAAATAATAATACATATTTAACGAATACTTACTTGGAGCAAATAGATATATAATCTCAAATCTTTAAAATAGGTACCTATCAATAATTTAAATGTGAAGTAGAGACTATAGGATATTACATTTTATTAACACTAAAGTTATATATTTTATAAATGTCTTTTTAACTGAGGACAAATGTAATATAGGTATTGTATTAAAAGGTGAATCCTTTTAACTATTCATTCAATGATAAATAGGTATTTTCCTTCCAAATACAGATGGTGGTATTACTCTCTTATGTGAAAAATGATTTCGGAATCTAGTCCAGTGATAAATTGATTATCAATTAGTTGTTGTCCCCGTTTGTCTTTTTATGATGCAGATGCATGGTGAATATATGGTGAATCAATGGAGTTTTTCTCGAAGTTTTCAACGTAGCACCAAAATTATTGCAAAACACAGTAGGAAATAAAAAAGCGAAACATCACAATTTTGCAAATAACTAAGACGAAACTATAAACAGAAACCAAAAGCCAAAGCCAACAAAAAATCACTAAAATCAGACGGAAAAATGAAACTAACCAAGAACATAAATAAATACACGTCACATCTTTGGAGTCTTTGGTTAAGTTTTTCTCCCATAAGGCTTAAAAATGGAGTAAGAAATCATAATTTCACCAGTAGCCCCATCTAGAGTTTGGAGCAAATAGCATAAAAAATGTCAGTTGTCGGTTTTGACCTTGGTCATTCACGTGGAACCTCTATGTGCTTTGTGGATTACACCGTTGTATTAAACGAAGTTTAAAATGACATTTTTACATTAACATTTTAATCTCCGTTTAACACATCGGTGGAATTGGCCCTAAAGCCAAATAATTTCGTTGCGTAAAAATTTTAAACTTTCCACAGGTCAACTAGTCGTCCTATAATTTTTAAGATATTTCTGAATAACTAGAACGAATATTCTATATTTATTAGGGATAACGAGAACAATTTGATACAAATACGCCATACGGCCTTTCAGTTTTTCTATGACGGCCTCCATGGAATACGTATTGGCTAGAATATTTATTTTTTATCTATGGCTAGAATGAAAAACTGGCAACTTCGGAGACCTGAAATTTTTGACAGATGTCATTTTTTATATTTTGCATTTGACAAAAAAAATATCAAAATCAGCTCATCAGCTGTTTGAATGGGGATTGAATATTGAATACGAAAAATAAGAAAATGGGAAAATGGTCATTTTGAAAGCTGTTGTTGTTTTTTAGAAATAGCTTTTAAAAGACACTTAATAATGAATTTTTATTCACTAATTATATGCTTGATAAGCATATTGGCTTTAGCACAGGTAACAAGACTATATTACATTATATTGTGAGTTTTACAAAAACTGTGTTTTCAGGGACAATCATATGAAGATAAAAGATGTAAGTGTATTTGTCCAAGTATATCTTCAGTAACTAACAGAACAGAATTAAAAAACCATACCTCTAGGATTATGTACATTACTAATGTTCCACCAAATCAATGGTAGGTAAATTTTACTTTATGTAATAATTAATGATCAAATATTATTATGTGCTTAATTATTTTTAGTAATTGTGATGGTGTGATACTACCTAGAATTGGCGCAGATATTGTAGGGAAGGAGCAAGAATTTTGTCCTAGATGTGACTGCAAATATGAAAATCGAAATACAACTATCATTAAAGTTGTAGTTATTATTGTTATTTGGGTAATATCAATATTAGTTATATACATGGCATTTTTAATAATACTAGACCCATTACTCAACAAGAGGATAAAAGGGAATTATCAGGAACACACAAATGAAGATGTAAGTTCTGTTTTAATTATTAATAATCATTTTTAGAATCCCAATTCATTGCATCTCTGAGTTGGACTAGAATATAAGATAAAAGGACCAGTAATCAACAGTGCACTAGTAATCGATGCTTTATAATTCAAATTCTCCTAGGGGCGTCGATTCTCCAGTGTTTGACACTTTTTGTCAATTAGTGAGTTATTAGAGCCATTTCTCTTATTACCACATTAGGTAAAATAATTAAAAAGCTGATAAAAAATTGTCTAATAAGTTTTTTAACTCCAACAACCTAATACGCAGTAAACAGTTTGGATTTAAGAGTAAAACTAATACATCAGGTGCCATTTTTAATTGCCTAAAGAGAGTTTACAGTAATATTAATATAGGTGAGAAGGTGGCAGAGATATTCTGTGATCTAACTAAAGCATCCAATTGTGTAAATCATGGAGTACTGTGACAAAAACTTTTCTATTATGGAGTCAGAGATAGGGCTGTGAAGTGGATTGAATCATGCTTTGAAGGAAGGATTCAACTAGTCAGAACAATAACTCTTCCAGTGTAATGAATATAACTATGGTGTACCCCAAGGGTCGGTGTTAGGTCCCTACTTTTTCTTACTCTATATTAATAATTTATCACTCCTTGACATTTCTGGCTATAGTCTGTTACAAGATAATCTAGAAAGCGCAATGATCTGGCAACCTCTTGATTCATTCGCCAACATGCTGATCAGAGCCGGCTTAGGTTGAGTGTTATTTGTTCAAATGTTAAAGATAATTTTTACAATTTGATTTCTACAAAGATCCTTTTGCGGTCTAAATTGCATTGAAAAAAATATAACATTAATTTCATTCATTTCAAAAATACTTTATTTATAATATGTACATATGATTTTTAATAACATTTTAAATACATAAAAAATATTATGCTCTGAGAACTTGTATTAAATTAAAAAAAAAAATAAGGGTTTTATTTCCAAACACAACATATACATCTCATTAGAACAATTTTCGCCCTGAAAGAGTGAACATACATTTTCAAAGTTTAATCATTTTCTCAGTTATATTAAGTAAATTTTCAAAATAATATTTTTGCACATTACAGGAAAGTCTAAATATTAATCTCGTTTAATATGTACCATGTATTTCAATAATATCTAGTGTGTTTTATATTGCTCTTTAAAGAAGATAAATAGGTTACATATTTTATTTATAAATTTGCATACTAGTCTGATGATACTAAATGCTGTATACATAAAGGGAGTTTCAGTATTTTGAATCAGAGCTTTAATGCTCGATAGAACTTTTAAAATTAATACAAAAAGTTTTCATAAATTTTGTCGTTTTGAAGTTACTTCACTTTTTATTGTTCAATGTATACCTACTAATTTTTCATCGAATTTATTATAATGTTTTGAAATTTATCATCTGCCAAACAATTTATTGTTTCTATTAACAGATCACCCGTTTTAAGAAAGTACAGTAATAATTTAATTTCAACATTTGCCGCATTTGAGAATCCACATCGGACACATCTGTCCCATTACATTTACATATACTGAATCATGTGATCAAAGATTTACTACATCTCAGATGCATCCGATGTGGATTGTCAAGCGCAGCAATAGTAATTAATCGGAAACCTTTTTGTTTAAAGAAGTATAGAAACTAATTTTTATTAAAAAATACATGTTAAAGAAAAATTATAATCATTTTAAACCTTAAATATTACAAGCCACTACAGCAAAACGATGTCTGTAATGGAAATGTGTAAATTAAATGCAAAATTTAGAAAATCTTGTACCTATAAAAATAATTATAAATATTAAAAAGGAAAGACTTGTATTTTGTTCAATTTTTTTTTTTTAATTATTAAATGCAAAGCGCTTTCGGCATGGTGCCATCATCAGTGCTTATTGTCCACAAACAAGCATATCCACCAAGTTCTTTGTCATCCTTACTCCAAAATATAAATATTTCTGGAGATTCACAACTTGCTAAATCATTATTATTTACTATTAATAATATTTTAAAATTTAAATTGATTTATACATTCATTTTTATTATTTGACCAACTATTGCCATGTGACAGTGGTGACAAGCGACACTTAAAGACGTTGACAGCTGACTTGGGCGACGATAAAAAGTGAAACTATCGATAACTGGGGCGACGATTACTGGGGTGGTGATAACTGGTAAATAGGTGTTGATTACTGGTGTATCCAAAATTACATTAAATCATTCTAAAATGTTCTACTACTGGTGCTCTTACTTTATTTTTTTTATTCTTTAATTTTTTTACTACCTATCTACTTTATATTTGCTTCGCTGGAATTTCTCAAATCTCAAAAAATTATTAAAAGTGAATAACAGTTCGTTACTCGAGAGAAATTTTTTTATGCGATACCTGGCAAATTTTTTTATTAATTTTTATTGATTTTTAATATTTTTTATTAATTTGTTAATTTTTATTAATTTATTTTATTAGTTTTATTAATTTTTAATAGTTTTTAATAATTTGTAATAATTTTTAATAATTAATTTTTAATAATTTTTAATAATTTTTAATAATTTTTAATAATTTTTAATAATTTTTAGTAATTTTTAGTAATTTTTAATAATTTTTAATAATTTTTAATAATTTTTATTAATTTTAATTTATTTTCGTTCATTTTTCTTTTTATTAATTTTTTATTATTTTTTTATTATATTTTATTATTTTTCAATTTTTATTTATTTTAATTAATTTATTTATTTATTATTTAGCTTTACGATACTCCCCATTTCTCCCTCTTTAAAATGTGAAAATCCATAAACCTTGAAATGGGTCATTATTAACCAATAATCACTAGCTACAATTCCAATTTTTCAGTTCCTACCTTTCAAAAACGGAAAGGCTCATACAAACTTTTACCTCCCGTTTCACTCCCCCCCCCCCCCCCCCCCCACCCAATTTTCTACCCTTAAAAAAAGCGATATCTCCGTACAAACTTTCCCCCCTGTCCCCCCTTTTCTCACATGTCTCCACTTTCTTTCCCTTCTTCCCTTTCTCCCTTAATATATGAAAAACCAAAATCCCTGAAACACCATTATTTACTTGTAATGAGTATCTAGAATCCCAATTTCCAAGTTCCTAATTTTAAAAAAATCGGTACTTCCATACAAACTTGTAACCCTTGTTTCCCCCTTAAAATGTGAAGATCCAAAAACCCTGAAACACGTCCTTATTTATTTATGCTCAGTAGCTGCATTTCAAATTTTCATGTTTCACTACCACTATGCAAAAAATTATGTCTGAAAAACAAAAACAAATTATCCCACGGGAACCGTATATTTTTCCTTGATAAAAACTAGCCTATGTGCTATTCCAGACTATAATCTATCTTTATGCTAAATTTCATCCAGATCCGTTCTTACGTGATTGAGCAACAAACATCCATCCATCCAAACTTTCGCATTTATATGTTAGTACCATGGTGTAAGGATACAGGTGAAGCGGTGCGCAGGTTTTATGACGTCAACATCGGTATTGCCACGGCCGCCTATACACTGCCATGCCATTCCATGGCTTTGTTTACATTTTGTAATGATTGTCAAGAAGTTTAACTTTTATTTCCTAGTTCTATAATCATTATAAAACTGAAAATATATTTAGAAGAAAATAACAACTGCGTCAAATAACATCAAGTTATGCTCAATAATACTTACAAGAAAAGTCACTATAGGCAGATAGACGCTTGTACAAAAGTAATGCCAAATAAAAAAAATATTTTGTGCTTTTATACAAAAAAAGTAGGTAATTTATTTCGAATTTAGCCATGGTGTAAGGAATTTAGCCTAATATAGTTTTTCTCTGGCGTAAAAAAGATAGTGTTCATCAGAAACTGAATTTTTCCATCACAAAACTTGGAAGAGGATGTTACATCTAGGATTTAAATCTTCATACCTAGCATTGCTATCTGATAGATTGAGATCAAGATGATAGCCAAAACGTACCTAAACTTACAGAGACATTACCATTAAAAAGTTTTAGTGGCTCAGCAGGGATAAAAATTGGAACTAATAAAAGGCATACACAAATAACTAATTTAAATGTGAAACTGAAATATGTAGTGTCCCCTGTATAGTGGAAAAATGTTTAACCTCTTGCCAATTAATTAATAATAGGAAGTGCTGACTCATAAATATGTTTAAAAAGCAATAAACTCTTGCTCAAAAAGGTATACTACAAAGTGGATAAATTTTTCTGATTCCTTGAATTAAGTAGTTCATTTTAATTTATGTGTATACTCCTGTATATATATATTTCTCGATTGTCATATTTGTACTTAGGTTGCATTTTTGTTTTTATATTATATTTTGTCTTGATATTAGAATTTAAAAAATTTTAAAATAAAAAATTTCATTTATGAATAAGTATTTTGTTTCTTTTCCTTTGAATTTTAACTTATGTTATCTATCTTTGTTAATAAGAATGTAATTAATTCTTCAACAATAAATAATTTTGAATCGATTCAAGTAAACTTGTGTATAATGTTAACGAATGCTGAACAATAAAATTAAGGTGAAATGAATTTTATTATGATCAGTATATTTTTTTAGTCGCCAATTTTCTTAAATAATCAGTTTGGAAGTATGTGGTCACTTTTATAGATTATAAATGTAATAATTTAATTTTAAATTAGTCATCAAACATGGATATCAATAACTTGTATGCACAGATCAATTACTTTCTTGTATGGTTGGGTGCTGGTAAACCCCTTTATGTATTTAATAAATAGAAACACTTGCCAAAACATACTTTATTTTAATAAAAAGCACAGAGGTGTTATTTTAAATTGATTTATTTATGTTTAAAAATGGTTTATACATAATGTTTACTTCTTTATCTTGCTTAACACTTTATAATGTATATTTATTGTTCTAAATTTAAACATTTAGGCCAGTCTCTTAAGGTAGTAAACCCAGGTAAAGGATAATGAACAGTTCTTAAAATCTATAAGCCTTAGGACGAATGCTTCTTAGGGAGATTGTGGATGCTATGTCATCCGAACTTCAACGAATTCTTTTTTTATTTTCATTGTATAAAACATTTATTTGACCCGGAGTGAAACATTTACTTTACTTTCCTGAATTTCCACTTGAGAATTATTTTTCAACTGGCTAATTTCTTCTTTCAATGAAAGTATTTCTATATTTGATTTGTTGCATTTTTCAGTAATTTTGTTTAGTTCTTCACGAAGATTCTTAATAGTTTTCTCTAAAATAATAATTTAATTTTTAATATTGAAATAAAAGCAATTATCACTTCAAAGTTTAATATTTAATAAAAAAATTGTTTTGAAATGATTGTAATGTTAATTAGTATATGCTAAGTTGTGTAATTTTCTTTTCAAAGCCACATTTTTTGTTAATAAGGTAAATTTGTACATACGTTTCTAGTTCTGATGATACCAATATATTTTGAGTGTCTGTTTCCAAACTTTGATTCTCCTTGTCCTGGTCTGCAGTTGACAATTGTCTGGAATGCCCCGAAATATTAACAAAGCTCTCAATAAATGTTTGTCCATATCTTTTTGCCTGCCTTCTTAATCTATCTTCACTTTCTGCAGACAATTGTCTTTTTTTCAATGGGAGATTTTCAGTAGGAACTGCTGTTTGTTTTAAGTTTCTACCAGTCTTAGTGGAGTAGTTTAATAGCCTCTGTTGTAAGGGTATTTCAAAACTATCCTTCGAAAAATGTATGGAACAAATACAAGCTTAAAAAAGAAACAAGACATAAAATTAATCATATTCAAGTTAGGTTTGCAAAAATCATACCATTTTTCAAATGAATTGTATCTTTTCACCCTCAACCGTTGACCCAGGCTTTGGCTATATCTGTTTTCGGAAATCCAAAATACTTAATATTTGTTCTCTTTGTTTTTCTTAAATAGTTCTTGCTGCCAAACACTGCACAACCTGGCATTTTGTTAGTAACTACACACCCTAAAATATAGTAGATTTTAATGTATCAATAATATAATAATAATAATAATAATAATGATATATTAAAATAACAATAATGAATATAAACTATTTCTTTTATCTTTAAAATACAACAAAAATGTTACATAACCTAACTTTATATCAATTACACTACCAACTTAATTAGAAATTAATTTAATAATACGTACCAATAATTTCTAAACAGGCCTATTGATATATAGAAATGATATTAAATATTAAGATAAATATATCTATAAACTTCTAAACACTACCAGGAAAATATTAGAATAACTTTAAAAGTCGCTTTTTAACATTGGAGACATAGGCAAAACAAAAATATGCTCCGCAGGTGACGTCATGCGCAAGAATGACCAAATTTCGTACCGCTTACCGCTTCACCTGTATTCTTCCACCATGTGTTAGTACGATAAATAGCAAAATAAACACCTAAAACTAAAATAAGGCAATGTTTTTAGAAACTACCTGAATGCAAAAAAGTGCCTTTTGCCCTGTTGATGAATATACCCTAATTATTGATAATACAAGTATTAAAAGTAATTTTAAAAAACTGACTTCAAAATCATGCAGATGCCATTACCACATTTTGACCAAATTTATATGGGACCACACCCGAGGTTCACCTTTTACTAACAAAAATATAATCAGTAGTAATACTATAAGTACTTCAAAATAATCAGGTTATACATCGATAACTTGTTGCATAATTATAAAGAGTGTCAGTTTGACAGTTTAAATAATCCGACCGCGAAGCGGGAGGATTATTTTGTCAAACTGACACGATTTGTAATTATGCAGGAAGTTTGAGATGTATAACCGTATTTATTTTGAAGTACGTATTGTATTTGATACGATTATTTTTTGAGTAAATTAAGTAAATATCAACAATTTATTAATTTAAATACATATTGGTAAAATGAAAATAATTATTGATAAACGTCAAAATTTGACGGTCCTGTTAGTTAGTGTATTGTTGTCGATGTGGTTACTACGGAAATGAAATTATTGTAAATATTTTTGATTGGTGGAGCTACTCTATGTATAATCAGGTATTATCGAAATTATACGAGGTAACTTAACTAAATTGAACGTTCTAATTGGTTAAAAGTTATACGAAAAAAATAATCATAGAAATCGGAAGGGGTGGTAAAGAATTATTGCTGAATATACATAAAAATTAAGAGTTTCTCATGGACCCAATTATTAGATTTTGACCAAATTTATATGGGACCACCCCTGAAGTCCCCCTTTGTAACAAAAAAAGAACCATTGAAATGGTTAAAGAATTATCGCTGAACATGCATAAAAAATATTCCGACCAATTGAGAGCCTACTCCTTTTTTTAAATCGGTTAAAAAATCATCTCCGATTTTTTTTCCGATACATTGCTTATAAAAAATAACAAAAAATTACTTAATTATTTGCAATTGAATTAATCAAACCATCCTTCCATTTAGATCTGCAACCTTCCAGATAATTATAAAAAATAAACAAACCCCATTGAAAATAAAAAGTTATGTTTCAGGAATTTTGCGACAAACCTTTATTTATTAAGTTATATTTAAAAATAAATCAATTTTCAACACTTAATAATTATCTATTACTGCTTTTTCTAGGATGAAGTAGCTGCGGGGCCCATGTCTCACAATATGAGTGTTAGAGGTAATGTTTTAAATAGAGTGGGACATCAACAAGATAAATGGAAAAGACAGGTTAAAGAACAAAGGAAAAATATTTATGATCGTCATACTATGTTAAATTAAAAAAAAAAAAAAATTAAGCAGATTCAAGGTGAAATTTGTAAGCAATTACCTACCTACCTACCCTAAATAGACTGATAAAATTCGGTTTTTGATAAGATTTGATGTAGTGTATGTAGAAATGGAAATATCTTTACTGTTTAATATGTTTAAATAATCATTTATATATTTAATATACTAAGTTATAATTTAATTATATAAAATAATAAATTTAAAATTGTTTTATTTACTTGTAAGTTACAATTATGATACAAAACAAGCATTCAAAGACAATAATAAATTTAAATTTATTAAACAAAGTTCAATGGGATTATGGATATTTTTTAACTTTTTGATTTATTAAAAATATCTTAAATTTTATCATATCAGTGGAAAATATCGAGTAATACCCATTTTGTGCAAGTTCAATATATTTTATCTATAACTATTTTACCTTTTAATTGCTCTTAGGATCGATTTTTTTCACCTAGGGTTATTCGCCAGATTAGTAAACTGTAACCTATAGTCTAATCTGCAAATAGTTACTTGCAACTTTACTTTTAGGTGAAAATAAGGTCTTTATTTTATTTCAACTAAATTTAACACATGGTGTCGAGTGTATATTGCAAAAAACATTGTAATCTTCTTGTAATTCGATATTGTCTCTGTAACCCATAGTATTGTTTAAAATTTTTCATAAATTTGCCAGGTTCGTTGTACGATTCGAGGGGTGGCGTATTATTAGTCATTTAATATATGTTGGTATGACCTCTACATTTTATTCCCAGTGGGTTAACGTGTCGATGATGGTGAGTAGTAAATAATAATGTAATTTTTTCTTGGGAATTAGGTATTCCCTATATGAAAATAATGTATTTGTGTTATAGTCAACAATAGACCTTTTCATCACATTTTTTTTTTGTGCGCATGTGTCTATATCGGCCATCTTTTTCGTACTGTTTTTGTAAAAAAGCATGTTAAAATACCCACGTGAAAAAAATTATAATCGATAAATATTAATTTAGGTATATTCATTTAAAAAAAGGAAGAAAAAGCAAAGTAATAATAAGTTTAGTGTCTTAATTGAAAAACATATTTTTGCAATCAATTATAATTGTTATCTGTACGGAAAGGAACAACGAAACGTTGTTGTTATGGAGTATGTAAAAGTCACACGCAGTATAATTCATTCAAAGGCAATACATATTGTTTTATAAATTTTCCAAAGTGTTTGCCGCAACATCGTAAAAAAATATCAAATTATCAGGCCAAATCCATAATAAGAATGTGCATTAGGTGTGAAAAAATGTGGTCGAAGTGACAACGGTTTTCGATGTATTGATAAAGTGGTCCAACAGAAGAACATTCTTATCTGGTATTACACAAGATTTTTTTAATATTAAATACTACTTCGGTATACACAACAATATGATTAAAAATGTCATGTTGATCCTTAAAATATTAAATCATTTATTTTATTAATTATACTCGTGATTACCTATCATGTTAATTAAAGTGTTTTTGCAAGTACTAATAGTTGGTTGGCATAATTAATTAGAATAGAGTTATAATTATTGTTTTCATTATTTTTTTATACAGTTAAGCAGTATTGATATACCTAATAACCTCTCAATCAGTCCCCTTTTTTCGTTTGTAGTAAACATCCAAGACACTTCAACCACCTTTTCAACTGCTTACAACTATGCGCTTCCATAGAGTTATAAAAAAGTTAATCACCATCTACGATTTTTTCAAATGATTAATTTTTCTGTAGAGATAATATTGCTTTTCCAGCCATTTTTGATCAAAACAGTACGAAACTTTTGAATTACCGCTATTTCAACAAGGTGGCTGCTCTTGCGCTCATGACATGAAAAGGTCTATTGACAATTTTTATTTGCACTACGGGCAATCACGGAGGGATCCCGCTCCAATATAATACAGATCTGTTTATGAAATCCGTTATAAAATGCCTTTATTTTATATATAACGAGAGAATATTTGCAGGACGAGCAGAACGAGTTGCATACATCCCAGATAACAATTATACATTCTTAGTATATACTTTTTAAAAATACGCATATGCTGAGAATACACTTTATTTGCATTTAGTACATTCTCAGAATATACTAAGCATATGTTACGTTACATTGTTTATACGTGCTATGCAGATACTGAGAATGTACTTCAAGTATGTGTACAGTACCCAGACAACACACCAAATCCCAGAGATATCCACAGAATATCTTTTGTGGATATCCAATATATCCACAGAATATCAGAAATACCCCGTGGATATAATATGGATACACAAATGTCCGTCTATATCCAGAATACAGAAGATATCCTATGGATATCCATCAAAATATCTAATGGGCATCTTCCAGACAATACAAGAAATCCTACTGATATCCACAGAATATATTTTGTGGATATCCAGTGGATCTAATATGGATATCCAAATGTCCGTCTATATCCCAGGATATAGAAGATATTCGGATATTCAGCAAAATATTTTATGGGTATCTTTAGTAGAGGTTCATATCATAAGTAACCAATGATTATTGAATAACGTCGAAAGAAAATAGTTGAGATAAAAAATATTTTCAACACTCTGCCTTTGATTTTGACCACTAAGGAGAAAGTCATCCTTATTAGGACTCTTCAGCAATAAATAGAAATTCTTGACTCCAGTCTCTAATGGAGTCTGATTCATGGAGGAAAGATTATTAGTCTGATTGAGATACCAATTTCGATCGAACTCAATAATTACGGCGGGTTGAGCATGAGCACGAGCGAAAGTGGTATCGCCATCTATACTTAGTAAGCAAAATCAAAAATTACATCTAGTGGATATCCACCATGGTTTGCGTTCGCGCCTAGACTTTGATATATTTTAAATATCTGAACGGTATTATTAGCCACAATGGCGAGCACAATAGCGTAATTTTTTTGGGCCCGTATTTATAAACGGAACTTACATGAGTCGGACTTGGGTAAGTCGTCCTTGAACTAAAATCAAAGTTCGGTTACAACGTCTCTAAAGTTCTAGGTGGTTCTGGTGTTAAACTGGAATTTAGAGATGGATATTAGCAAATCTGTTACTGTTATGTACATCTGCGGATTGTAGATATTTTTTTCTTAACCATCCTCCCGAGTCCTACCGCTTGCCGAGTCCTCATTTGCTGCGTATGCGCGTACCGATCTTTGATTTGATTGAAAAGTGGACATATTTCTTATTATTTGTCATACCAGTTGAAAATAGGTTATGTTAAAAATGCAGAAAGATGATGATATAATAATAATATGTATTCAAGAAAATATAAATAAATAGGAATAGTTACAAGTAGTATAAATACAAAGTTTAATAATTATTCAAATGAATTCCTAGTATAAATACAGAATAAATTAGACGTTGATAACTCACTGGTGCGTTATAATAGTTTTCCTTTGCATCGACAGTGTAGCACTGAGCTACGCCGCTTCTGAAAATATTGTTCCATCCATACAATTTGTATAAATGGAACAATATTTTCAGAAGTGGTGTAGCTCAGTGCTACACTTTCGATGCAAAGGAAAAGACCTATTATCTGTGTGCAAGCTAGTTTATCTTTCGATTTAGAATGATATAGAAATAAATAAATAAAAAAGTAATTAGGTATACTTATGAGTAAAAAATAGAGTCCGGTACGCTTTAGGTACGACGGAATTTGAAAAATTAATTTAAGCAATAAAAAGTACCCATTCTATAGAATAAATTTCTAAAAAAATGCTGATAAGAAGAATATTTTCTAATTATTTATTGTTTCGGCCTTTACTTGATGAAAATCCATTTAATTTTGAAGGAGTAAAACCAAATTTGGTAGATTTTCACACTTTTATTTTAAAAATAAAAATTTTTTTTTAAACAAACACTAACATGACATATGTTTCGAAGTACAACTTCTTTTTCAAATGTGACTATTTACAATTCGGTATCCAATATATATACAAAATAATTTAACAAAACAAAGTACTTAAGAAAACATCAATAACATTACAAAATAAACTAACTATTTAAAGTAAATAAGGGTACTTAGGTAATTATAATATCCATCAAATAACAATAAGATAATCCATTACCGGGATTATCTCACAGAAAACTGGGAAAGAGGTTTAATAAGGGTGAATTATTAATATCTAATTGATCATTTAGTAAGTTATCTGAATTTTTAAATCTATTTATTTCAAGTGTTTCTAAATGGTTTAATTTAAGGCTCTTATTTTCTACAGACAACTTTGAAATTTTACATGTAGAAAATAAGAGCCTTAAATTAAACCATTTAGAAACACTTGAAATAAATAGATTTAAAAATTCAGATAACTTAAATGATCAATTAGATATTAATAATTCACCCTTATTAAACCTCTTTCCCAGATTTCTGTGAGATAATCCCGGTAATGGGCTATCTTATTGTTATTTGATGGATATTATAATTACCTAAGTACCCTTATTTACTTTAAATAGTTAGTTTATTTTGTAATGTTATTGATGTTTTCTTAAGTACTTTGTTTTGTTAAATTATTTTGTATATATATTGGATACCGAATTGTAAATAGTCACATTTGAAAAAGAAGTTGTACTTCGAAACATATGTCATGTTAGTGTTTGTTTAAAAATTTTTATTTTTAAAATAAAAGTGTGAAAATCTACCAAATTTGGTTTTACTCTTTCAAAATATTTTCTAAGAAAAGTTAAGATTTTGATGTTCTTAACCTAACATTTTATCAATTTCTTACAGTTTTGCCAAGAGTTTCAGTACTTTACACCTTATGCTACATAAAATATGTGAATATTAACAAGACTGAAATATATTTTTATCGTAAAATTAATTAATTAGGACAAGGAAAATCTTTATAAATGAATCAAAATATTATTTATTTATTAAATAATTTCAGTTAGTTACAAGATAAAATACGTAAATATTGATATTACCCATTATTTAATTGTGAAAAAATTACGATATAGCCTATAAAATTGTAAATTTGATAAAATTTTCTTATCCTTTTTTTTAGAAGTATACAATATGTAATGGGAACTTTTCAGTGTAATCAATTTTTTTTCTAAATTTCGAGGTACCTAATAGGTCTTTTCCTTTGCATCGAAAGTGTAGCACTGAGCTACACCACTTCTGAAAATATCGTTCCATTTATACAAATTGTATGGATGGAACGACATTTTCAGAAGTAACGTAGCTCAGTGCTACACTGTCGATGCAAAGGAAAAGACCTAAAGCGTACAGAAGCCAAATTATATGTTCAGTATTTGTATAGTTCTTGATTCATTCATTTACTAACAATTTTAAAATATAAATTTGTAGGAAGTAGAAGAATCTCGAATTTAGTTTCGGTAAAACAATCCTCATAAGGGCATCGAAAGAATGGAATTTTTTAACCCTATTGAAAAAAAAGCAAAATACTGAACACCTCAAGTTAGGATGTTCCAATGAAAATTTTATATAAACCCAACAATTAGAAAATAAAATTGTACCAAACAAAATCAACTTTAAAAGGTGCTCCCCAATTATTTCAAACGCGTAAACGCAATATGTGAGGGACTCGGAAAGCGGTAGGACCAGGGTAGGACTCGGCAAGCGGTAGGACTCGGGAGGATGGTTAAGAAAAAAATATCTGCTTGGCAGAGTTACTACCCATCTCTAAATTCACGCGATATAACCGAACTTCGATTTTCGTTCAAGGACGACTTACCCAAGTCCGACTCAGCTGAGTTTTGTTTATAAATACGGGCCCAAAAGTTGACTGGGCAAATTATCCTGTAGGACATAGCTCAATAGAGGAAGAAGAAGAACCCTCTTAACTTTGTTTATATTATCAGTTTTGCAGGTTATATTTATAATTTAGGTGCAATATGTGCTGTGGGCTGTGGGTAAATAAATAAAAAATGTAGGTAATGTGAAGTGCTGAATTATGTAAAATACTGATAACAATAAATATGAAAACAAATTAACAGGAAATAACTGTCAAGTATTATCAACGTAATCTATTTTACCACGTATTAGGTATTATTCCTTTTCTTTGACGATTTGATAAAATAGGTACTACTTATTGAACGTTTTGATAAAACTTCTGGAAAATGTCTGCAACTGGGAAAACGAATGTGGCTCTCATCACGGGTATAACAGGACAGGTAATTTACTATTAAATTTAACAATTTGATGTTGGTTACAAGTTTCGCTAATATGTGATTGTACTTTTCCCTGAATATCTGACCTTAGATATCAACAAGTAGGTATATGTAAGATAAGAGCACCAGTAAACGACAGTGTACCAGTAATTGACAATGCACCAGTGATTGATAGTGCACCAGTAATCAATAGTGCACCAGTAATCAATAGTGCACCAATAATTAATTGACAGTGCACCAGTAAACACGGATTATCACTAGATGCTCAGGTCACACTATGTTCACGATCCGCTTATAATCAAGGATTTGAGGTAGTATTCACATAATAATTAATGCTCATTATAATATTTTTAGAGTTTTATAAAAATCATCGACACATACTTATTGTAAGATTAACAAAGTAATATTAATTGATTTAGCTGCTATTGCAATATGTTTAGATGACGAAGAACAAGGACACAAGAAGATATGTGTTTAGGACATTTTAAGAAAATGAAAAACTGAAGGAGATTTTTTCACTCTATATAAAGGGCTTCTAGACTACACAATATTTTTGTATGATAAAACATACATTTCAATACATTTTGAATAAAATTTCAGCATATTTGATATAAAACACAATACTACATTTTGTGTGGCAATTTCACCGCTAGATAATAGAGAAGTTATGGCTAATCTGATTGTTGTTTGTACACACTGACGCAAAGGTCCACTCACGGTTCGTTCAAAATATCTGCAAGGAGAAAGACCGCGGTCAAAGATCATGAGTGTACTGTGAGCGAAACGCTGAATATGAATATTTCCATTTAAATAGCACCTTGAATGGAGTGTGAGCAGAGTGTGACCTGAACTACAGTGATAATCAGCCTTAATTGTCACTTTAAAATTAAAACGCTCTTAATAAGGGCATGTGTTCAGATTTGTACATAATTCTCTACCAGAACAAAAGTCCTCATTTTTTCTAAACAAATTTCTTGTCATTATAAAATAGGTTGTTGCTTTTTAAATAGTTCCTCTATCCAGGAATATGCTGAATATACTTATATTAGTACATACCTAATATAATTTAAACCAGCCCTTATCCTCTTTTCCTCTTTTATAATTATCTGCTCTTATTATTTTCTTTTCTTATGCCCTCAAATAAATGCTTTTTCAATGCTGTCAATATTATGGATGGATCATTTATTAGTGCCAAACTTACTTGCGTTCTTGGAAAACTTTAATTTCTAAATCAAAATATTGATTTTTGGACTTTAAACCAAAACAAAGTTTAGATAAATATTTTTTAGTATTTCAAATCTTAAATTTTGGGATTGTTTTCTTTTTAGTAGTTTTTTGTTATTTCCTTCTCATTTCATTGTTAAATAAATATAAATATGAGGAAAACATTTTTAGGATGGTTCATATTTGGCAGAGTTTTTACTAAGTAAAGGATATGAAGTCCATGGAATAATTCGCAGAGCTAGTAGTTTTAACACAGGAAGAATAAACCACCTTTATTCTGATCCCTGTGCACACCAAGGTGGGAAATTGTTGTTACATTATGGAGATATGACTGATTCTAGCTCACTAGTGAAAATTATAGCCAAAATAAAACCTACAGAAGTTTACAACTTAGCAGCTCAAAGTCATGTTAAGATTTCTTTTGATTTGAGTGAATATACAGCAGAAGTAGACGCTGTTGGAACTCTACGACTTTTAGATGCCATTAGAACATGTGGAATGGAAAAATTTACTAAATTTTATCAAGCTTCAACTTCTGAGTTATATGGAAAAGTGGCTGAAGTTCCACAGACTGAAAAGACACCTTTTTATCCTAGGTCTCCATATGGTGAGTTTTTGCTTTAAAACAGATTGCTTACTTAAATAAGGTTTAGTAATTAATTAAATTTCAAAGCAAAGGTTTTTTCTTATTCTAATCTAACAGATCTCTTACCAGAAATACAGTTAGACATCCAATTATTGTCATAATATTTATGTATTGTTTACAAATCTAACTAATAAGACTACCTATTTTTTTTATTTGCATAAATTTTTGTTTTTTTTTGACAATTTTCTATGAAATTGTGTCATATTATACCTCCAACATTGTGCGTTTATTATATATTTTTTAGGCTAACTTTTATTCTAACATCACTAATACATGGTTTAGTATATCTGTAAATATAACTTTTATAAAACCGCACTATGTGCAGTTTACCTCCGAGGTACTGATATGTGTGACCATGTGATCTTACAAATGAATTAATTAATACCATTAGACATCTATACTTCTGAAATCCTTGCAACTTCTCAAAATAAGGCCAAATATTTTCTTAGTTGTGGATATAATATTAAATAAATTATATAAAAAACTTAACTTCTTGTCAAATTCGACTGCCAAATTCGTTTTTTTTTTGTCTCTACTTCCTCAAATGTGACCAAGACATTGGAATTGGAATTATTTTTCTTTTTTTTTAATTGACCACCTGGATTTTGATTCCACCTAGTTATCAAACTGGGTACTACAAGCGACCTGTTATTTTGCTTACTTGGTTCAGATGGCTTTACCCGAGGGGCAAATCACTTCCGCAATACGTGTACAAAATGTCCGCAATCCCATTGAAAATCGCCTCAGTCTCATCAAAATCAGTGACAATCGCTAAGAAATCGCCGCAGTCGTTCCGAATTCGCTCACAGTCGTTCCGAATTCGCTCGCAGTCGTTCCGAATTCCCTTGCAGTCCCCCGAATTCTCTCGAGCAATCACTAGCAATCGTTAAAAATCGCGCGCAGTAAGGTGACATTAACCTATTGCCATTGTTGGCTAGGGTGCTTTGATTAAGCCATCTAAACCATTTTGTGTAAAGAAATTGCAGTTTACATTTATCGAAAGGGTCCTTCCGTGCATTTTGAAGTAAGAACCTTAATGTACATTTTGGAATTTGAAGGTCTTTTTAGGATAAATTTAGACAATAAATCTACTTGTACAAGATTTTACAAGGTGGTCGAAAATTGTCCTTTTTCATTTAATTTTTTTTTAATGTATAACTAAATTGTTGGTATTTTATGGGGGATTGGGGTGATACACGTTTTAATTAGGGTTTTAAATGTATTTTTACTTTCCTATCTGTGTACAGATAAGAAAAGTATAGGAATCATGATTTTTTTCGACCTCGAAATTTCGACGGTTTTTTACGTTTTGGGGTCTCCTGAATCCGTTTTGACTATTTTCGCGATGATGTGTGTGTATGTCTCTCTCTATCTGTGTGTGTGTCCGTGTCTGCGTCTGAGTCTGCGTCTGTGTGTGTCTGCGTGTCTTGGTGTCTGTGTGTCTGTGTGTGTGTCTGTATCCTCGATAACTCATGAACGGATACAAAGGAAAACACCAAATTTTAAACTTAAGCTTTATTCCGGCGTCCAATTAACTAATTAGATTTTGGGCAGAGTCGGAACATCTGGGGGGTACTTTATAGGTCATCATTTTTATATTTTATGGAATACATCTGTTATTTACGTTTGGAGAAGAAAATTCTTCAAATAAAAGTTACTTATAATATTATTATCTATAATTTTTGTTCTATACAAAATTTTCCTAAAATTATGCGTATTCAAGAAATTTGACAAAATGTAAAAAAAATATTTTTTTTATAAAAATTGTTCAAATAAAAGTTGTTTGTAATATAATTCTGTATAATTTTTGCTCTATACATAATTTCTCTAAAATGGACCGTATTCGAGATATTTAAGAAAATGTGTAAATTTCGAATTTTGAAGAAAAATCAAAAACGGATTAAGTAAAAAACATTAAATTTTAAACTTAAGTTTCCATATATGATATAGATAATGCAATGAGCATTTTTTATGGATTGAAAGATCTTAATATAAAGGATTTTTGAAATTACGACACAAAGTGATTCTGATACTTCATTTTTAAACATAATTGTGAACAACAAAAAAATGAAGGTAAAAAAATCAACTTTGTTGGTTATTTTCCACTAAAGACGGGCGCTTGTCAACTGACAGATTATTTCGTGTAAAAGGTACATCCTCAGCAGTACTTACTAAATAACAAAAAAAAAAAAAATTAAATCCAGAAAACAACACAGCTAAAATACCAAATAACTACAATGACAAAGATGTAACAGAAAGTGAAAAAACTACCGGTAAAAATACTTTGCTCCAGAAAAATATCAATGGCATTTTAATTAGGAACAAACAATATTACGCAGTTCTTTACGAGTCGTGGTACATAGGTCGGATTGTTCAAATAATTGATGAAACCACTAGTAAAATAAAATTTTTAAATTCTGAACTTGAAGAATATTTATGGCCAAAAGAAGACGACATTCAAATTGTTAAAAATAAATTCATATTTTACGGACCCATCAATTTAATTGGATCTGGTCCATTTAAACTAGAAACAAATGATAATAATAATAATAGATGATAGAAACATTGATAAAATTTGTAAACGTCTAAAAAACACTTTTATGAAATTTTTAAATAAAAAACCTATAATTACTTAATAACTTAACTTGTTTTAGTTACCTGTACCTATTTGTTCATTTAGGCATATCAAAGATATCTAATAATGGAGGCATGTAAGTACCTACATAGAAGTTTATATTTCGTGAATCACATCAATTAAAGCTGATCTTTCGAATGAATAAAAAACGTATAAAAAGTTGATTTATTGATAAATTTGTGATACACACTTAGTTTTAAATCAATGCATTGTATTAAGCACCCATACATGTGCTATAGGTACAAAATTTAGTTTTTCTGATGAAACACCTAGCTAATGCTCTTTTACTGGAAACCAACTGGTAATCCATACAATATCGTAGAAATCCTTCGGAATGCGTGCAATTTGCAATAATACTGGCAATCCATACGTTAATCGCCGCAATCAATAGGGAAATTGCCGCAATCAATAGGGAAATCGTTGCAGTCAATACATAAATCACCGCAGTCACGGGAAATATGTCGGAAGTCATGTGGAAATCACCGCAGTCATCCAGAAATCGCTGCAGTCAACCAGAAATCGCCGCAGTCATCCAGAAATCGCCATATGATTGCGGAAATCATATGAATTCGGCAATACATGTACATTTTTACAAAGAGTGATTTGCCCCTCGGCTTTACCACTTTTCACTATTTGAGTACTTATTTTTTCATAACCACTGTCATATACTGATGAAATGGACATATTTGCTTATTCCATTAGTGACTGAAATTAAGAACTTATCTATTTCTTGCTGATGGGTCTTGATAAAAACAAAACCAGTCCAAGAATGATGTTCTCCTTAGTAAGCAAAATCAAAGGTAGAGTGTTGAAATTAATTTTCTATGTATGCTGCGGTAGTAGCCAAAGGAGAAGTTGTTTTCTGAAGAAAAACGGTCACTCATATTTTGTATGACGTATGGTTTTGTGTTTTATATATTTTATTTTATATTCGTTTTGACTGTTTTTACCATAAGATGAATTTCACTCAAATAATTCTCAGTTCTCTACTTTTTCAAATATTCCTTCAAGTTCTAGAAGCCACTATTACACAATGATCTTCTTTTATTATCTGTTTTGAATTATTTTTTATTATATCTTTAGAACATCTCACACTTCCGGCTATTTTGCCATAACTTTAGTGTCAGCTTCACTGCTCATGAATCCTTAAAAGCTTTAGTAATTCATAGCCTTGCTGATTTGTTTCATTGCAATATATTAATTATGCACTTCTATTTAGCTGCTGCCAAATTGTACGCCTATTGGATAGTTGTAAACTATCGAGAAGCATATGATATGTTTGCCTGCAATGGCATTTTATTTAATCATGAAAGTCCCAGAAGAGGGGAGAACTTTGTTACCAGAAAAATTACAAGAGAAGTTTCAAAAATCCATTTGGGCATTTCGGAATATTTAGAATTGGGAAATTTAGACTCAAAGAGAGATTGGGGCCATGCCAAGGATTATGTAGAGGTAATAAAATGCCAAAATTAACCGATTTTAATATACAAAACTATTTTATATATTTTACAAAACATGTTTTAGCTAATAATTTTGTATTAAAAAAATTTCAGGCCATGTGGCTGATGCTTCAACAAGATAAACCTGAAGACTTTGTAATTGCTTCTGGAGAAACGCACAGTGTCAGAGAATTTGTAGAGGCATCTTTTAAACATGTAGGAAAAGAAATTGTTTGGGAAGGAAAAGGTGTTGACGAAGTTGGCAAAGAAAAGGACACTGGAAAAATTAGAGTGAAAGTAAATCAAAAATATTTCCGACCTACAGAAGTTGTAAGTATCAAATATATAATAATTATTTTACTTCTGTCAGTAAACATCGCATACAATATATTCAATTATTCTTTGTTCCTGATAGATTCGTCACAAGATATCTACTGCTATTCTAGTATTGTTCTTCTGGCTTAGTAGGGGCTCAGTGAGTTTTGGCGATAGGCCTTTCTTGAAATATCTGGCTTCTATATGGACAACTTATTCCATATCCTGAGATTTGTTTATATTCCACTGGTTTTTGCCGACTGTCATTGGTACAGAGTTCTGCCCCATACAGAGCCTTTGAAGTAACTTCTTAACAAATCAGCTCCTTCAGTGCCTTTGTGTTTTATTTGGTTTGGTCCAGGATGAAGTTGCTCTAATTTGATTACTCAACTCTGTTAGAGCTTCCAAATAGTACCATACAAGGTTTCAGTGTATCTGCATGGAACAGTGATTTTAACGTCGCTTGACTGTCGGGGTGTGTTGCAATGGTTTTTCCATTTACCTTTTGTATTGATATTTGTTTTATGCAGTGATGTATTGTTGCTATTTCAACCTAAGACACTGTCGTTCATTTACTCAAGATCAGTGAGTTTCTTCTCTTTGTTAAATACCTACAACCAGTAGACTTTTTGACGAGTTAAGAATGTTGAGAGACAGTTCCTATATGCTCAGGAGAATACACAATTGGCCTAGTGAGGCCTAAGTGCTGTTAGTTTTGGAGCCGTTTGGAGGTGGAAAAGGATGGATATGATATCACATGATATAAATAATATCACTTTCATCATTTTGTATGAAATTTTGTCATTTATACTTGTAGGTTTCATTGCATTGACCAATATAACGAAAATCATTACACAAAAATACAAGAAAATAGTGCGGATAGAATGGCTTCACCCGCGCATTTACAATCAGGTAGGAGAAGCCCACCAAATGGCCACTTCTCAAAAATGGGGCATACCATACCATACCATGTTATTAACCTGCAGGACTTTGATCTGAGAGGCTGGCTCTCCTTAGACATCGTCCAGCAACAACTAGCAGGTTTTTGATGAGTTATTAACCTGCAGGACTTTGATAAGCTGAGAAGATGGCTGTCTGTAGACATCCCTCAACATCAACCAGTAGGTTTTTGATGAGTTGATAACCTGCAGGATTTTGATGAGCTGGGAAGATGGCTGTCTCTAGACACCTCTCAGTGACAAGTTGAGAGGCCGGTTCTATATGCCTTTGAAAGATGCTAAGCCACTGATCTGTAATTTGAATGCACTTGAATACGATAAGAGTACCATCTAGTTTTTCTAAATAGTAAACTAATATGGTACACTTTAGTACTAAAAATACATTTTTATTACAACTGTAATAACCCTGTGGTTTTTAATCCTTATAAGGGCATGTTTTCACACAGCTTATTTTAATATGCTTGAATTTACTGAACTATTCTGGGGAATATTTTAATTCTTAGATTTTGTTAACCTTACTAGGGTATTAATAATGTATAATAAAAAACCCTTTTTAAAAATTATAAATTGTTTGATTAAGCATAAAATTGACAGAATTTTACAAAGATGATTGAATTAAATAAAAAAAATTAGTATGAACAAACAGAAAATAATAATAACTGAATTTCATTTAAATAAACTCTTACATGTCGTAGGAATCTAACCCAATCAATTTCTCTAGGTGATTAATGTAACAAAAAAAAATTGAATTGAATATATTTAATCTAAGAATTGAACAACGATGCTAAATTGATTTAACCAATTCAATCAGACTATGGGAACTCCAAAGAAAAACTCTTAACGTTAAATCAGAGCCAACATAACGGAGAGCCGCGATACTCGAAATAGCTTCCATAAAAAATATATTGGAGCGTTTCGCCACAATTTTAGTTACGGTAGTGGGGGTTCGTTAGCCGTAGTGGGATGCACAGCGAAATAAAAACAGAAGCAAAATAGTAAATATGCGGTTAGGGCTGGACAGAAAAATATTTAAGCACGGTTTTCATAAAAATAAAAATACCTACAAAAAAGACTTCTTTTTACAATATTAGAACATTTTAAGTAGGTAATATGTTACAATTAAATACATAAGAACATCAAAAAAATAGGATTTTTATTTAATACATATATTACACCGTGACAGAATATCAGAGTTCAAAAGTAGTTATTATACTTCGTCTCCCACTTTCAAGTTTTACCCACTTTTTAAAAAAAAGATATATACAAACTAACAAATATTTATTTCCAAAACAACTTACAATTTTAAAACTGAATAATTATAGAATATTCTCTTTTAAGGTGATTACAGCACCCCTTATAATTTTCGGACAAGGATATCTCAAAAAGTAATTTTATTAAAAATTTTAAATTTTGGCAAAATAAATAAGGTAATAATATGTGATACAAGGGGAGGCAAGATTAGGTGCTTACAGATTAGGGAATACACTGGGAAATCTTGACATTAGGCCAGGTCACATGAGTATCTCAAGGTTAGTGACAGGAGACGTGCTAGACATGAGATCAGACCACTTAACCAAGAGGTACTCTTTTAATACTCCCTTTGAGGATTTAATACAGGAAACAAACCTGGTATACAGACGGGTTTAAGACTGCGGAAGGCACTGGGGCAGGAGTATTCTCCAAAAACCCTGATACCAACCATAGCTATGCTATAAGAATACATTCCTCGGTATTTCAGGCCGAGGTATACGCAATTTTGCAATGTGCAAAAACGAACAATGAAAGAGCTGTCGAAAATCAGCATATTCAAATAATGTCAGACAGCCAAGCGGCACTTAAGGCCATATCGAGTCAGAAAGTTACGTCGAGGCTGGTATGGGAATGCATCGAAGAACTAAGAACACTGGCAGACCGAAATAGAGTAAAACTATTTTGGGTGCCAGGTCACAAAGGGATCGAAGGCAACGAAAAGGCTGACGAACTTGCAAAAAGAGGGTCAGAAGAAACACCGGAACCAGACACAAACCCAGGAGTATCAAAAAGTACAGTCCGGGGTTTTATTAAATGACTGGATTCGGGAACAACATATCAACTATTGGGGAAGCACCCCAAAACAGGCACATGGAAAAGCCTTCATAGGCAGACCATGTCCCAAAAGAACTGGAGAACTACTCTTAATGAATAGGAACCAGTTGAAAGTGATAACAGGGTTCATGACTAGGCACGCCCCAGTAAAGGGACACTTGAAAAAAATTGGCATGTACAATGGGGAACTCATGTGCCGACTATGTCACAAGAAACCAGAAACGGCCAAACACATACTGTGCGAATGCGAAGCTCTAGATCGCAAAAGACAGGCTCTTTTTGGACAACCCCAGGTTGATCCAACAACGTATAGAACCCACTCACCCAAGGATCTGTACAAACTTGTACAAGGTACAAAGGTGATAGAGTGGGTGCTATGAACTAACATGGGGTAAAACACAATAAGCCAATAGGCTTCAGTGTTATTCGGAGACACATAGTCAGACGAGCCCAGGAGAGAGAGAGAGAGAGAAAAAAAAAAGGTAATATCTAGAATATGCATATTTTTTAAAGTTTTAATTCTTTCCAGTTTCCGAGAAAAAATCAAAGGGCTTTAAATTTTAAAATATCATGATGAAAATAAATGCATTCCTCAACAGCACTATTCTTAACGTAATCCATGAATTTAAGCTCCTAATGCCTTGTTAATGATTTTTTAAAATTCGCCAAAATTAGTGACCAAAATGCCTCGGTAAGTGCTATCTTCTGGTGTAAACTGGTGTAAATCATTTCAGGAAACGAATAATGACTAAGAGTGTACGATACGATAGTTACAGTCACGTTACAACGTAAGGCAGCACTTAACGAGGCGTTTTAGCTAATTTTGGGCGAATTTTAAAAAATCATTAACAAGATATTAAGAGCTCAAATTTTGGGATTATATTAAGAATAGTGCTGTTGAGGAATGCATTTATTTTCATTATGATATTTCAAAATTTAAAGCTCTTTGATTTTTTTTCTCGGAAATTGGAAGGAATTAAAACTTTATAAAATATGCATATTCTAGATATTATTGCCTAATTTATTTTGCCAAAATTTAAATTAAAAAAAATTACTTTTTGAGATATCCTTGTCCGAAAAATATAAGGGGGTGCTGTAATCACCTTAAGATTTGACAATAATAAGAGTGAATAAGGCTTTGCTTTTTACAAATATATAATTAAATTGAGTCAAGACTGAATAATGCAATTAACTTCGCGAAATAAATAGAGATATAACAACACAGCTCTCACCCTTGATTTGTAAAGCATATTAAGAGAACTGAACAAACTAATTATGAATAAAATAAGAAAATTTGAGACAAACTGACTAGGCGTTTTTCCAAATTATTAGTTTTCTATTTCTGTTTGGCAGTTTGAAATTTTTATTTAAGTCTTTAAGAGTATAATAAATTCTTACTCTTGCATATAAGTTATATAAATACAAAACTGTGAAATTAGGACACGGGTAAGCGAAATTCACTGTTTTGAATAATGTGACAAATTTCTCAATAATATTATCCCCAATAACAAGCACTTCAACGTTTGGCTGAAAAATTGTTTCCAAAGAAGATACTAAGTAAACAAAACTAGTATTGGGCATCTTCAAGCCACCAAAAATGGCCGTGTTTGATGGTTGATATGCACGCAAATTACAGTATATTGATGTGTCATCAAGCGTGTTAAATTCATTGGCATATTCTTGACAAACCAAACAATTGTGATTCATCAAACACTTTTTTTATTACGTATCCAGCGATATACCTCAAAAAATTTTTTTGTGAAAGATCGCAGGACTTGTAATCACTATCATTAATAGTTACATTGGTACATTCACTTTTTTCAAGAATAGATCTACTTTCCTCTTCTACAGTCTGGGAAATTTTTGAAATATCACTGATTATTAAAAGAATATTGGATACATCTTCCTCGCAATTTTCATATCCAGAATTAAGAAGTTTGATGCAAAATAATTTTCTAAAAGTTCTTATGA